AGAGCTCATGCGATAGTGCATGAGTTGTACCTGTGTGTATCAGCCTGTAATTTTAAAGGGACATGTTTGAATGAACTGACCTGCCAAGGCAGTTATTCTTTGTGTATGGCTATATATGCAGCCAGATAGATTGCACTGCCAATGGAGCCACTTAGAGCTGACACACACAATGGAGAATTGCATTGTGTGCAATGTATCCCCCTCCCCTTCTAAGATTGGTTGGTTTCAGTCTTACCTTAGCTTAAAGAGGCATAGATGTCACCCCAGTTCCTTAAAATGCAAAACTTGGTGCTTGTTTTAGGAAGAATACATAGAAAAGTCCAACTTCTTTTCTAGATACAAGTCCATAGTGAAGTGTCCCTCTGAAGCAGACTTTTAAGACACAGTTGTTATTTCTGAACATTTCTTTGTTAAAAGTAACATGGGAAACGGTCAAACAAACAAATAAAAGGCTGATGACTTTGAAGTCTTGTCCTTCTGTAAAAGTCTATGCAAAATTGTTAGAATAACGAAGAACTAAAATTTGAAGGATTATAAAGTTTCCAAAACCTGAATATATATTATAGCCTGAAAATCCCTATACATGGATGGATTGTTAGTTATTTTTATTCTTTCTACAGCAACAGTAGTGGGTGTGAGTGTGGGTGCATTTAGAGTATTATGATCTATGGCAAATCTCAAAGTATATTTTGTATTCAGCAATCTTATATGCTAATGTTCCATGTTAATGCAATGCACATAGCACATTCTAGAAATATATTATTGTTTTTATGTTTATTTGAAAGGATTAGAAAACATGTTTCTGAACTGTTGTTAATGATGTTGAAAAACTTAATTACTGTACATTTTAATAAGGAGTAGAATAGGGTTGTTGCATTTAAAGTATATGCTGAAATTTGATTTTTATACTGTTTTTAAACCTAGATAAAGAACTACTTTAAAGATAACAATCGATTGCTTCGATATTATTGATTTAGTTACCAAATATATATTTCAATTAAACTTTCATTCTGGAATTTTTAAAATAATATTTCTGAATGACCATAATAGCTAAAATGCTATCTTTATATACTGAATATAATTCCAAATATTCTTATTCTAAAAAATATGCCTACCTTTATTTGTACTATTCCATCCTATCTTGATAAAATATATTTTTATTAAGTTGGTCACACCCTTGTGTTCACTTACAAGAATGAAGCATGACTATTATCCAGGCTGCTGATTTCAAAATGTAGTGTCCTGACCTTGGATGGGGGTGGGGACTAGGGAGTCATATAAGGTTTGAGTGCTGAGGCAGGTCAATGAGGTACCAAGTAGGATTGTTGATATAAGATTGGGGCTTTTGGATAAAATTGTGTTAAAAAGGAAACCTGAAACTGAGATATAGCATCTATGCTATAAAAATTTGAGAAGATGACATTATTGGCTATTTACTAAGGTAAGAAATACATTACCCAAGTCAGTTTTTTAGGCCTGCCAGCACTATTTGCTTTTACTTGTTAATATGGGTTTCATGATTTCTTACCTTTCAACCAGGAATAATAACAGTCACTCAGTGCGTATTTAATGTGTGGAAGATGACAAGAATTTTGTATGCAGTGGAATTCTGTTAATTGCATTTTACCCCCCCCCCCCCCCACACACACACAGATGGTTATGAATGGTTGTGTTGGTAAAAATAGCAAACTTCATAACTGTTGTATGGATGAAACAAAATTATGATGTGCGATTAAGTTTCAAAAAGCATATATTCATTTTTATACTAATGTATTCTTATTAAGCCCATTTATACTGGAGAAAATGATGGGCAGTCAGTTATATGGGAAATCTAATCTGTTGCTGAGATTTCTTTTGCAAACATAATTTCAGTATAATTCAATATTTAGATATAAATCATACTAACTTGAAAAAGATTTACTCCCAAGTATGCTTGCACAGTTATTCGTTTAATAATTCCTGATGGTGACCATCTATCTATCTATCTATCTATCTATCTATCTATCTATCTATCTATCTATCCATCCCTGAAGTGAAATTGGGGTTGGGTTGGGGGCTCTTTAAGAACTTCTGGTCCCAACTGAACATGGTAGAATTAATATAGTATATGATTCCTAACAGTTTTCCAAATTTCATTGTTCAGATTAGCAATAGTAATTCTGAATTTTCCACAAGGTTTCTTGGACCTAGTAACAGGGTAGCAATAGAGGTGGAGTTGTGTTATGAATTGTGCTCACCCATTAAAACAAATTGTGGAAGAAGGAACAGCAGTAGGAACAGCAAAAGAGAGCTATAATTTCTGTGAAAGATCTTGGCTCAGGTGTCCCATGTATTAAAATTTCCTTTGAGTTTGGAAGTTGGTAAGAAAATGGTAAAAAGTTCCATATCCTTTGTATTGTGATTACCAATATAGAAAACCTACACAAACATTCTGTTATAACTGGTAAGTCATCAAGGGACAGTGGGAAACATCTTACTCAGGAAAATCACCATAAGGATAACTGCCTCAGTTGTCCATAGTGATAATCTAGTTATCACTGCAAAAGCCACATTGCAACTCCTACAACTGAGAACAGAGGGTGAGAAAAATGAAAGGGGAAAATAAAGCTACATCACATATTTCTCCTTGCCTCTTTTTTTCCTTTGAAAAGCACACTTTGGTAGAACTTTAGGAACTTCCCATATACAATTCGTAATTGGTTTCTAATTCTGATATTTGTTAAATCGTTTAATTATTTTTTTCTTGAAACAGCTACATTCCTTAATAAATATAAATAAAAATGCTGAAAATATTGCTGAAAATATTTAAATAATAATAATAATTATTATTTCAATTAAAACATGCTAATTAAACATTAATGAAGGTGTTACTATAATGCTTCAAAAGTAATGCCTAATGTTTATAGTACATGATTTATTATCATTAACAGTTACATTTATACACTTCTGATGTGGGAAAAAAAGTATCTTTAAAGAGGCTTAGCATGAATTTAGTATCATTATAATTAGACAAGAAGTTCTTGCTTCAGTCAGGATTGAAAGATCATGCACCATGTCAGCAGTGATTTTATTTCCATTTTCTACCACCCTTTTATTGTATGTTTGTGTGTGTGTGTGTGTGTGTGTGTTAGAAAGGAATAAGAATGAGCATTTTTGCCATATATATGGCTATGGTAAATATATATGCTTATAGAGATTGTGAATATCATACCACTACTATCATCATTATCCTGAGTTTCCTCCAGAAGTTAAGCACCCTATCTTCTTATTTTTTCCATCATAGGTCTATGAAGTACATTGGTCTAAGTGATAGCAAATGGTGCAAGTCATCCAATGAATTTCCACTGCTGAAAGTAGACTTTTACCTGAGTTTCCCCAATTCTTGGCTCCCATAATATCCATGGGCTTACTGGAAATAAGAATCTACTGTATAAATTCTTTTCAGCAAAGATGCCAAAGGAAACAATTATTTGATGAAGATTCTGGAATGCATATCTTGAGTGAATATGTCATTTGAAAATACACAAAAAGTGAAGGCTAGAAAAGATATTTTGGTCTTATGGAAAGGTGGGTAGGTGGGGATTCCTGAATGGGCTGCACTTTATCCCTGATTTATCCTCCACAACTTCTGCTCCTACCACTTATTCTAATGTTTTGCCCATGTTCTAAACCAAAATAATGTCTTAATTTGCCAGACTGGTTCAAAATCAAAACTCCATTCCCTTTGAGAAAAACCTTCCTCAAAATGAATCTTCAGAACCGGATCTCAAATGAACCTAGTATAGCTAGTATAGTTTCAGGAAAGGAATGGACCAGAATGTTTAGCTTATCAAGGCCACTTGAGATTGGATTATCTATCTCCCATTTTTCAGTATATATTCTTAAAATGATTCCATGCCAAAAAAAAAAAAACCAGTAATGAAGTAAAATTAACATCAAGATAATTAAAAGAATTCAATAAACCAATATAATAAAAATCTAGTAAAATTAAAATGAACCTATAAATGCTTGAGAAACTTCTTTTAAAAATGTATTTCATCTCATATTAAAAAGAGATTAAAAATTCCAGATAAATCACTTTGGGGAAAATTCTAAGGGGAGTCTTAACCACAGAAGTTCTATCTTAGTTGATCACCTCTTTATTCCTGATGACAATGGAATCCAGAGAACTTTCTCTGATTCAGATCCCTGGATATTTCTGAGGTACTTAGGTCTTAATGTCACTTGGGGTTTAGAAGTCAATCATTAATTCCAAAATACCTTTTCTAGCCTTCATTTTCGTATATTTCCAAATGAGATATTCACTCATACTATGCATCCCAGAATCTTCATCAAATAATTGCTTCCTTTGGCATCTTTGCTGAACAGACGTTATATGCTTGGAAATGAATTGGAAGCAACATAGTTTTTATAATGGGAATAATTTGTTATGGAAGTTCTCTAACTGCTACATTTTGGACCAATGGTAATTTCTAATTATCG